AGTTGCAGGTGGATCTCTGCCTCTTTATGGGAAGCACTTGTGGGCCAAGTGTATATGTGGTTTAAGGGCAGTATCTGTGACCTTACTGTGAAAATCTTCAACATCTAGTGGTTTAAAGAAGTCTGTCATAGGACAACCTCAGCTTCTATGTTGTCCGACCAGAGAAGATGAGTCGTGGCAATTCTAATTTTGACAAGAAGAGAAAGTGTGTCTCACGGACACCTCTGAAATATCTATATGTAGACAAAAACTGGTAAGGAGCAAATACATTGTGGTAACCTGGATGTAATCCTGGAACAGAAAAACAGTGCTGGAAAAGCTAATAAGCTCTGCATTAAGTCGGGAATTTGGCTAATAATAATGTTCCAATGTTAATTTGTTATTTTTGATAAGTTTAAATTACAAAAGTTATGAGGAGCTAGGTAAATACAGGAGCTCTCTTTACTATCTTTGTAACTTTTCTGTAAATTTAAAATTACTCCAAAGCGAAAGTTTTATTTAAAAAACAAACAACATGATTATGAAGAGACAGCATTTGAGGGAGAATCCAACTCAAATGTTTTGATTTTTTAACACATGGTCTTTGTAGGAAAGCCAGAAAGAAAGGATAAACAACAGTAAGCAAATAAAGATCACCTCTAATTCCTTGACCCAGAGATAATCACTGCTGACTTCCAGACTTTTCTCTGGATAGGTAGATAGGAAGATAGGTAGATAGGAAGATAGAATTTTAGAAAATCTAGGTGGATCACATTATAATAATGGTTCCTTATCTTTTTTTTTTTTTTAAAGATAATTTATGCATACAAGAACTGGGGTGCAGGCCAGAGGTGCGGGGGGTGAGAGGATTCACCAGAGACAGAGTGGGGAGTAGAACAGGCAGATCTACTGAAATACACTGCTAAGGGGAGCAGCGGGCGAGACAGGAGAGGTCTGCTGCGCCATGTGGGTCAGCTCCCTGGCCAGCTGGCCAGGGATCGAACTTCTGCTGCAGTACACGGTGATGATCGCTTGATGGCACTTTGTCTTTAATCCCTGCACCACCAGGGAGGCCCCCCCTTATCCCTTTTTCTAATGACACTATGGTCAGCTTTCCACATCAATAAACTATAATTTTTTAATTGTTCATTTCTTATCCCTTAAATTATTAAATGAATCCATATTCTTGGACATTTATGTAACTTTCACTGTTATAAATAGTACTGACTCTACTAGTTGAAACTAAGTGTTTTGTGCATATTTGTGATTGTTTCCTTAGTCCTTAAACATGGAATTGCTGATTCAGAGGGCCTATTCATTTTTAAATCTTTTTTGTTCACTTGCCTTTCTGAGGGACTGTCCCCTGAGCCAGCCCCACAGCCATGTCTACACACTCTCTCCAACTCTGAGTCATCGTCATCATCTCTGTCTTTGCTAACTGGAAGGGCAAAAAGAATAGGAGGTTTTTGTTTTAATTTGTACTTTTAAAATAACTAGAGAGGTTTCCATTTTTTGCTTACTGCGCTTTTATATTCTTTAGCCAATTGTACAATTTTCTGTTGCTGTGTTATTTTTTATTGATTTATAGGAGCATCTGTCTGCTGGTTTCCTTTCAGAGGCAGACCTAGATGCCTAGGCCTTACCCTCACTGATCTCATTTCTCCCACTGCAGATCCTAAACCTGTCCCAGGCCCTGAAAGACAACAAGAGTCCCCTGCACCTCGTCCAGATGCCACCCGTGATTGTTGAGACGGCCCGTTCCCACCAGCGGTCTGCTAGCGAGTCCTACACACAGAGCTTTCAGAGTCGGAAGCCCTTCTTTTCGTGGTGGTAGCCCGCGAGGCAGACAAAGGCATATTGTCTGAGACTTGGCCTGGGAGGAAGCCTGGGGAGTGGATTGCAGGAAAAGCCTAAGAAGCTGGTGGAGAGCAGTGCCCTTCAGAGCCCTCCCTCTCTGCTCGCACCCTCCCTCAGGGCTTTCCCAAGCACTGGGAGAAACACAATCAGAGGGACAGTGCGTGCTTAGGGCCCCTCTGAGTGTTGGGGAAGGCTGGAGCTCCAGGCCAGTAGTCCAGATGCCTGGGAGGAGTACCTCCCTTCTAGCATCTCCTGAGGGCAGGCTGGGAAATTCCCTTCCCTCCCTGACACCCTGCTCTGTTGCAATTCCTCATTATATTCTGCATCAGAAAAAAAAATAATAACAAAAAGAAATTTAAATACTAGTAGCAAAACCCAGGCAGAATCCCCTATCCTCTCTTGTCAGAAACCTCTAACCCAGACTTATATTCGCATGGACCCAGATATTCAGGTGCCTCGCTGTCCTTCACTCCCATGGACCAATGCAGCTGAGTGACTCAGAGGACAACTGGTGACATGAAGTCCTGGGACAGAAAAAGCCACACCTTTCCTTTGGGTTTTTACCAGGTCTCTTCCCCGTCTTCCATCAGTGCAATAGTGAAAGCCTCCAAACACAGTTCTCATGGTGGGGATACTCTAGACCTCCCGGCAGTTCTGCATGTAATTGGATTGGCTCTGCTCTCTGTCCTCTTAGGGAACCAGCCTCCCTAGTCCAGGGCTGTCGCTTGCCTGTCCACTCATGCAAAGGCAGGAGGGAGGAAATTGAGGCCCCAGCTTGCAAAAGTGATTCTGTGGCCTAAGTGTATGCTGGGAGTACAGTTGTTCCAAGGATCAGTGTATCCCAGCCTTGCTTCTGTGGTCCTAGACAAAAGTGATAAGCTCTCCCAGCCCTCTCATTTGTTCCTGTTGTTTTAGAGATCCTTTCCTCCACTCTTGACTTAGGGGATCAATTCTGGGTTCTAAAGTGGGTCTTACCAAGGGCTCTAGGGTGGACATTATCTTAGATCCTTGGACTTGTTTATATCCTACCACTGCAACTTGGTGGAAGTAACAGGACTTATATTCTGCTTCCTAACTGGCGGCTTCCTTTTGCTCCCTGACTTCTTGGTCCAGGCCACTTTTGCAAGGCTTGTTGAGAAAGGCAGGGCCCACAGGAGCGAGACCTTCAGACTGTCCCCCACTGCCTCCCCAGCTCAGTGTGCATCTTCCTGCTCCCCTGGCTCTCTTCCTTCAGCTGTCCCCCTTGCCAGGTGTCCGAGCCCCTGCTACACCAAAGCAAAATATGGCCTCAGGAGGGAGTAGAGAAGATGCTCTTTGAGGATGAGGAGCAGTTGGACACTTTGTTCTGGCACCCTGCGACTGGTCAATCAGTCTTGGAAAGAGACTATCTTGAAGGTTTGAGAAACAACCAAAGAAAGGGAGTGAGGACCATGGCTGTGTGCCCTCTGCTTGCCCAGCTCTTGCCATCCAAGAGTAGAGTAGAGATGCGCAGCCTTCTTGTCAGCTGCGCCAGGTTGGTCCCCTTCTCTTCCAGCCACTTTGTCCTGGGCTTCCACCTGCTGCCAGGAAGCCTCTGGGAGCTGGTTGCACATGCTCTGTGGACAAAGGCACAGCTCCTTATCTGCCCTGCCCTGACAATCCCATTCAGCCAGCTGGGACTCTGGCCTGGGGGACCGGGTTTGTGAGCCGGCCTAGCCCTAGACTGTAGGAGCAACAGGGCTCCCAGAGGCCAGAGGGCACCACGGGTATGTTTAGCTCTCCATAGACAGCTTTACACCAATGTGTTGATAAAGCTCCCCACCTGAGTGTCAGGGGGCCCTAAGGGACCTGGTGGCTTCCCTGAGCCAAGCTGATCTGCACATTGTCCTCATCCAGACCAGCTCTGTGATGGGGAGGAAATTGGATCCCATGTTAGAGGGACCTGGTCCCAGGCCTGGCAGGTGAAAGTGCGGGGCATCCTTCCCTGAACCTTCTCCATTCTCCTTGAAGCCTGTGCTCAGGTTGCCTTGAATGTGGAGAGAACCAGGGGTCCAGAGTCCCAGGGCAGGCTTCTGGGTGACACTTGGCCTGGCCTGGCCCTCTGCCAGCCATAGGCCCTGTCCCCTATGTCAGGGAGAAGAGGCGGGGCTCAGAAAGTGCTGCTGCCTTGGTATTGTTCTAATGCACTGTAGAAATTGTATTTTAATCAATGCAAATGTATGAATAACCAGTCCAGTTCTGACCTCTGTTGTCTAGTTTTCTTTGGTGGGAGGAACACAAGGTAGAATGCAATTTCAAGGACAGAGAACCTTGTGTTTCCCTAGGGTTCCAGAGGCTATTTCCCTCTAGCAGAGGGAGATACAGGTTCTCATTTCCAAAGTGCCCAGGCTCTGAAAATCAAAAATATTTTCTAAAACCTGACCTGAACCTACACTGATATGAAACTGTTTGTAATCATCATGTATCCCAATTTGAATATTTGTTGCAGAAATACTCATCTGTTACGAAATATTCCCCTACTTAGGATTATATTGTATTTGTACTGACTACCTCCTCAAAGCCAAAATAATTCTGAGTTCCAAAATTTCTAGCTCCAAGGGTTTGGGATAAGAATGTGGACTGACTTACTTTCTTGGCCACGAGAGGGCAGCCCTGCTCTGTGTGCATCTCTGCCCCTTGGAGCATCGTGGACCACAACTCGATTTGAGCCATGTATAATGAGACCTAGGGTGGGGAGGGCAGCTGAATGTCAACGATCTTCAGGTTATCAGAAAGCTCAGATAACAGAGGAAAGCTCCAGGATGGTCTGTCCACATGCTGACCACTTCAGTGTGGGTGGCCCAGAGGGATAAAGAAGCAGCTGAGGAGCTGGCAACCACTACTTTGCTGCAGATTCATCTAACCCAGGGACCCACTGCCCACTGTGCAGGTCTTCTCCCTTTAGAGGTGGCCAGGGGCCAAGAGCCCTCTCCTGGCATCAGGACTGCCTACAGGGAAGCTTCCATTTCATATCCCAATCTGATAGCTTTTTTGAAAAAGCCAATGCACAGGGCTCTAGAGGATGGGGCGCGAAAGCATGGAGGCCAGACTTATTTTTCCTCTCTGGGAACACCCTTCCTTGCAGTGAGCTACCCTATCACTCACCCCCCTCCCACACCCTCTTGGGTATCTATTTCAGGATCTGCCCTTTCTGTGACAGACACAGTTCTTGATGCAAATATTTTTATTTTGCCACTTAAACCATAGTTTCCTTGTGCCGGCCTGAGGGGAAGGGGTGGGGAACAGGCTGCTGGACCACTGGGTGACAGTAGTGGGAGGGCTCTATGAGGAGTGGTGCGTGCTCAGGCTGAGTGCTTGACACTTGACTCCAGGGGAATATCATGCAGCCCAGCTATAGTGTTAGATTGGGAAAGGCTGAGCAGGAACAGTGGCCGTTTCCTATTCTGGTGAGGAATGGGTTCCACATAATATGCTGCTCCGTGGAAGCCTCCAGTCCTGTTCATTGCAAGCCAGTAGCAGCGGTCATTGATTTATGCCTCCATCTCTTCTTTACCTCCCCAGGCCCTTTGGCAAAAATTCCTATAATTCCTGGGGAAGATACTGCCATTCTCAGCCACTTGCCTGAATCAGTGTCTGATCTGATGGAGGTAGCTTGTGGGGCCTGGCTTCCTCCAGTTCTGGCGGATCCTGGCACTTGCCCTTCTAGAGTTCAGATACTGGTCACTGGAAGCCATCTCCGTGGCACTGCCCTGTGGTTCAGCCAGTGGAGTACAGGGTTCTGGGGTTCTGCAGGGAACAAATGTGTGATAGGCCAACATCAGCAGGAAGGATGGGAACAGGAATAAAAAGACTTTGGTCATGGTGTGCTATTAAAACTGTTCAGGGCAAAGTGAGCCAGAGTTCTGGTCTTGTCTCTGCCTTCTGAGAGCGACATAACTGGGCAAAGCTTTCAGAGTTCTGTAAGAACTGGACTAGATCAGGGTGTGTAACACTCAACACTGCTCCAACTTCCTCTTCTTATACTCATGGCAAACATTATTAATCAGTCATGATACCAGACTGGAGGAACCAAGTATCTTTAGCAAGGTGTTCACATAGTGATCATTAATTGGAGTTAGCACAAGCCATAAAGCTGATTTGCTACCCCTGGGCCTGATGATCTCAGAAGGCCTATTCAGGTCTAATGATCAAACTGTAGGCCCAGAGAGGGCGGCTAGGGGAAGGCACCCACAGTGATGGTTTTGGCTGTGTGGTTCAGCTCCATCTCTTGGGGATGCTGTTCCAGAACTGACAGAGATCTAAGCAAAGTATGGATTACTAGGGTAAGTTTATAGTTTCTCAGCAATTTTTAGCCCTTGATGCCACTATAGGATTTTCCTGTCTTCTCTGTAATTTCTTAACTAGGAATTTAACTAGGCTTACCTTTGAGTGTCATCTGTTCTACAGCAGGTATATGCAATGTTTTTCTTTCAACCAATACTCACTCCCGCCTAGCTGAGAATCATTGAAAAACGAGGTACACTGATAGACCTGGGCACCCCTCCCCATGGGAGTTCCCAGGATCCCATGACTCCAGTAGTAACAGAAGTCTTAAGTGCCCCCCATGGTAGGCACTGTTTGGGCCACACCGCAGCCCCAATGGTAGGTGCTTTACAGTGAGGCTAGCCCAGTACCTCAGGCCACATAGCCAAGACTGGAGGACTGACTGGGCATTATTAGTGCTGTCTTTCCCTCAGCCCTCCAGATCCAGGAACCTACTTGAGTCGGCTGCAGTGGTGGACAGAGTGGCCCAGAGGCTTCTGTCTTGGGGGCCTTTTCCTGCGCAGCTTCCTCAAGGCCTCTGCTACCCGGTGGTCCCCGGCACACTCCCAGATGATCTGTGCACGTTCCTCAGCCAGCTGGTCTCCACTGCGCTGAAATAGGCCCTGGATCTGCAGCAGTTCAGCGTCCTGGAAGATGTTGGCTGAGGCCTTTTTGCGGCCCCGGGCCTCAGTTGGGGCCTGCCAAGGAGGTGGCTCACTCACTACAGAGGCTGGGGTGCCCATCTTGGTGCTCTGAGGAAGGAAAGCATGGGGAGACATCAGCAAGCTACAAGCCCTTCCCAAATTTGGGGGTTCTGGTGCTTCTATTCTCCAAGAGCCTAAAGGAGAGTAAAGTCTTGACTTAAAATCAATAATTTCCCTGGGCACCTTGAGGAAATAATAATATGAAGTGTTTAAGTGTTCAACACGTGTATTAAGAGCCTGTGAGGTAAGAAGGGTTTAGCCTCACTTTACAGATGAAGACATTCCACTCAAAGAGGTTAAATGACTTTCCCACTGTCACAAAGTCATGTGGGCATGCACAGCTGGCAGCAGGACCTGGGGCTGTTGTCTCTACAGTCCCTGCGCACCCAGGACACCCCAACCTAATGGCCTTATGTTAGGTTATGCATTTAACAAGTGTCAGGTGCCACTGTGAGAGTAACATGGGTGAAATGTGGCAACGTGAGGAAACCAGGCAACAATCCAGATGTCTCCATAGGTAAGGCCCAAGCTCTGTGTGCAGAAGTAAGAGAGGGGTTATATATGTGGGCTACCCAGGTTGGGATCCCAGCTGTGGCTGCCATCACCACTTACTGGCTGGGTGCCCCTCCATATTCCAGCTATTTCCTGTATAAACTTGTCATCTGGTACGAATACCTACTTCATAGGACTGCTCTGAGGACTGAGTGAAGACGCAGTATTGAGAACAGCGCTCTGTGTTCTGTTTTTCCATCTAAAATAGATGAGTCATCCCACCTATTTTCAAGGCTGGGATGAACCAAGTCCATATAATTTGCAAACACAGTATGAAATAGCACCAATCAGATCTAACCAGTCCAAAGCACCAGAGAGAAGTGAGGGAGGAAGGTGGAGAAGAAAAGGCTATGGGGTTAGAATAAACTGTCATGGGCAGAGGCTGAGATTTATAAGTGCAATAAAACTGTCAGTGCCCCCCATCATCTTCAGGAAATGAAAAATTTCTCCTTTGACTTCAGATAGTTCACTTTGAATAACATAGGCATGAGAGGCTTATTGCTTCCCTTACCCTAGTCTCCAGTACAGCCTGAAAAAGCTTTGGGAAAATAGACTTTGACATTATGCACAATTGGGTTTGAATCCCAGCTCTACCACCTTCCTAGCTGTGACACTGGGCAAGTTTCTCAATCTGAACATGCTTAAGTGTAAAATGGAGCAGGATTATATTAAGGATTAAATGTGGTACCAGGTACCAAATAAGAGCAAATGGCTACTTTTTGGCCTACTTGACTTTTGAATTTGGGCCAGGGATGTGAGATGGACCTGCCTTTTCCTCCAAGCATCCTGGTCTGATCAGCTGAGGCTCTGCTGGGTTCCCTCCGGCCCCACAGCCTCACAGCCCAGGGGGTGGCGGGAAAGGCTTGGTTGCTAACCCAGAACTCATGCCACAACTAGTTGCAGAGATAACCTGTCAACCAGCTAGTGGCTTTAAAAGGGGCAAAATAAAAGTTAAAATATATTTAAATTTAAAAAGTACATACTCTCTGTAAAACATGCAGTGTGGAATTTTATAAATAAAAATTTCCTATCCTAAAGCCACTAGCAGAAGTAACCCTTGCTTTAACCTGTTTTGTACTTTTGAGAATTTGAGTCATCTCTTCATCCCGGGCAGACTCTCCAAATACGATTATCCTTCCTTTGCCCCGGCCTGCCCTCCACATCCCCGTAGCCACTTCCCTTATTCCAATAATTTCCACGCACCCTGTCCCAGTTTCTAAACCTATCATGAAAACTCCATTTTAAAAAAAAAAAAGATTTAATAACTAAAATCTGCAGAAGACTTTCAGATAAACCAACTTCATAAAAATAGTGCTTTTTATCTGGAAAATGGGAATGTTGTAATCTACCTGTCCTTAGGCACTCCTATGGCAATCCGGTCACTAATGTTTGGTACTTAAACCTCCAGAGCTGGATGATATAGACTGAGACCAGAAAACTGCTTAACACCTTCAGGCTGACACATAAATTAGAGCTACTATGGGGTGTTTATTCTGTATCAACATGATACTGCATAATCATCCAAACAATTCCAGGCAGAGGGGCAAAGGGAAGCAGAAACACAGGTAAGTGCCAGAGGCTCAGATAGGCTAGAACCTGGTCCAAGTGACCACATGCAGCCAGTGCTTTGAAACCACCCAGCTGCCTTTCTAAGCAGTTCAAAGCACATCTCTTCACACCTCTTCTGAGAGGTGTCCTTCACTACTGCTACCCAATTCACAAAAGGGGAAACCTGTCAAGAGAAAGGGAAGAACAATGAATTATCCCACATGTGAGGCAGGGGTGGAACTGTGGAATTTCTTTTAATATTTTTGCTAGCATAAGAGTTGTTTAATGGCTGACAGGCCGCCCTAGCCTTGAACATGCGGCATCCTGAAGAGGAAGATCCCCAGCTTCCACAAGGAAATGTAGACCTGCAGCCCAGCCCCGTACACAGAGTGCTGGCTTATGAGTCAGAGAACTGGGTTTAGCCAGTCTACTACTCACTGGCTGAGAGGCCTCAGGCACTTCACAGGCCTGTTTCCCTCTCACTTCAGTAAGAACAAATGGGTGCTCCCGGTCTCTGAGCGTGTGTGCCCATATTAAGCGTGGATGATTCCATAACAAGGCTAGGTCTGTATGGAAGCAGGGATGAATTTGCTTGTTTTCCAGGGCCTAGGAGCAACATGTGTGAACAGGTCTGGCCATGTCTCCCCAACCAGTGGCTCCCCTTTTCCTTTACTTCCCTGGAGGCCAGATACTTTTGCCAGTGTGGGCTATATGGTTCGGATCAGATAGAAGAGCTCACTGCTCTAAAGCACTCTAATGATCTAGGCTGGCTGTGGTCAAGCCGGGGCTGGCGGGAGAAGGGGTGCTATCTTTTTCAGACTCAGGCAACTTCACTCTCGGGAGAGAATAGCAGGATCTAGCAGCAGTAGCTGCCTCAGGGATGGAATGATTTTGATGGAGCCTGATGTCCCAGAAAGTGTCACCCACCTCTGCCAGAGCTGCAAAGCCCTGCTTCCAGCCACAAAGTCACAGTGAGTTAGAATGCACCAACAAGAGGTCAGCTAAAGCCGTCTGAGCCTTCAGTCTTATTCAAACCCTCCACGAACCTGAGAATATCTTGATACCTCTAGATTTTGAGGGCGCTCACTCCTGACACTCATTGGAGTAAAGCTAGGGAAAAAAATTCATGGATTTCACATAGGATTAGATAGAAAACAGGGAAAACACAATCAAAATGCTTTCATTATCAGAAGAAACTTTCCCTGTCTTATTCAATGTGTTCAACAGTTCAATAGCAACTTTCCCCTAATTTCCTGGACAAGATCTGAATCCAGGAAATCAGCATATACTTGAACAATGGTATTTTCTAAAACTAGAAAATGAACCTTAAGGCTATTAAAAGAATAAAAATGGATCTTTCATTTGAGAGATGGTATAAAAGAAGAAAAGCATGGGTCTATGAGCAAATAAAGGGTAATTGCAAAATACTTCAGTTTGATAACAAACTAGGTTAAAAATGAACCCCCAAAGTAAATACCAAATATTGAAAATGACAAAGTTCAACTTGCTTTAAGCAGACAATAAATGAACTGTAGAACTCTAATGAAGAAATATAGCTTAAAAGTGACTCTCCATGCACATGAATTTTGCAATGTTATAAAAACGGTGCACAACTGAGCATCCGAAGTCGATTCAGACAGCTATTCTCACTTGATCTCCAGGAGATGCAGGTAACCATGAGAGGCAGAACACACTTGTGTGAACTGGGCAGCAATGGTTTCCTCACTCAGTTCACCCTCCTGGGAAGACCCTGCTGATAGTAATAGTCTCTGTAACCAGAGGCTAAGGGCCCTTAGAATAAGATCTGGAGGCTTTGGCCCAAGGCCCAAATCAACACTTGTGGCCCTGGCCTGCTTCCTGGCACAGACATGCCATTGGACAGCAGCCAAAATCTATGGTTCTCCAAGTGGGAGGCCCAGTCCAAATGGCTACATAGGCCCTCCCATTCCACAGGGCCTAGCTTTGGCCAGGGTGCCTGAGAAAACATATGTAGGCCTCTAAACTTGTGCCCTGAGAGGTAGAGAAAGGAACTGGGTCCTTCACCCAAACCAATTCTGAGATATGACCTGAAATAAACTGCTACTAGATCTAGGAATAACTTCTCAAGAATTCAAGAACTCTGAATTCTGAATTCTGGCTGTGCCACTGATAAATTGAGTGACCTTGGCAATGCCATTTTTCCCCTGTCTCAGTTTGTATATCATTAAATGGTAAGAATGAGCCCTTAGGGGGAAACAGGAGATAAAGTGTGAAAGCATTCATCCTGGTACATGATGTCACATCATGAATGAATGAAGGGACTATAGAATCATTGTCATTTTCCTCACCACCACCATGAAATGCCCTCTAAGGGGGTCTTCACCCTTGGGAGAAGAGGGCAAAGGGAGATGGATTAATCTGTGAACTGTTAAATCCTAGCTGCCACTGAAGGAGCTTGAGGGTGTCAAGTGCAGACGGCACAGATGGATAATGTCTTCAAGCCTCACAATATCCCTGTGAGCTGGTAGTATTACACACCCACTTTACAGATGAGAAAGCTGAGCTCAGAAAGGTTAAGTAGTAACTTGCCCAAAGTTACTGGTAGGTATGAAGCTGGTATAGGAACCTGGGTGGTCTGATCCCAGCACCTATCCTCTCAACCATTGTTATTTTTGTTTCTGCCAGATGGCTGATGAGGTCTTCAGGGGATGGAAGGACCCAGAAGGCTTTGAAGCCTCTAGGAGCCTGCTATATGCTGCGGGTTTTGGAAGGCGCAGGGATTTAAAGTCAGGCCTCCCAAGCAAGCCTTGATTCCCTCGGCACGTCCACAGCTCCGCGGGGAGTTGATTACTCACCACGCTGAAGGACAGCACCGACAAGACCTCATCCAAATCCGGATGGGGCAGGCTCAGATGCGCCCACCCTACCCGCTTCCACGGCCTTTCAAATAGGCGGGCGCAGCTCTGGGCTTCCTGCCGCGAAGGTGCTCACCAGGACCGGGCATTGTTCACGGGCAGGACAGGAGCTCGGCAGGAGGGCATCCTAGCCGAGGTCACACGGCGACACCCCCAACCCGAGTCGGCCCCGGACCCCCGGGGCTCAGACGCAGCAGCTTCGCAGAACGACGGGCCCTTGGCGGCTTGGGTCCCGGCAGCACCCCGGATCTGACAGCCCGCTCGTCCGACCCCACGCACGCGAGCCGGGCCACCGACTACGTACCTGGCTGCCCGAGGTGGGCCACCCCGGTCCCCGCCACGGCTCCCCGGAGAAAGCGCTCCCGGCCCGGAACAGCCAATCCTCGGCCAAGACGCGCAGAGCGCTCGGGTGCGAGCCTCCAAAATCGAACGCGGAGATTCCGTGGGCCAATCAGCGGCCGCAGAGGGGCGAGGGGCGTGTCCCGTCCCCGCCCCCTGGCCCCCGCCGGCCGCGAGACCCGAGAGCGAAGGTGCCCCGCGTCCAATCAGCGGCCGAGAAGCGGGGAGGGGCGTGTCCGCCCCGCTCTCTTCCTCCCGCCCCCCGCCGCCCTCGCGCGGCGCCCGGAGGCGCCCCCTTCTGTGACGTCAGTCCCCGGGGAGCGCGGTTTCGGCGGCGCTGGAGCCGGGCGGGGCCGCATTCCTGCCCAGGGGTGCGGCGGCGGGCTTCGCGGGGCGTACGTGACGCGTGCCCCTCCCCGGCTCGGGCCCGCGAGCGCAGCGCCGGGCTCCCTGCGCGTGGGGCCTCCAGGGGAGCCCTGCAGCTGCCGACCGCTCCGCCCGACGCCGACCTCGTGGCTCCAGCTCGGAGGCCAGGAAGGAGCAGCGCGGTGGTCAGAGCAGACTAAGTGGGCGTGAGGCTTGGATCAGTTTTACCGTCCTGGACGAGATACCTAAGCGAGACAGTGTTTGCAAGGTTTTATTCATTCATTCTACAAAGACCCTTTCGGAGCACACCTTTGTCTGGTTCTTTGAAAAGTAATGAAGAGAAGAAATCTAAAAGCCCTTGTCTTGGTGAGCCAACAGCCTGATGTTAAAACACCTAGAACATTTCGTTGTCATTACAGTGTGGTAGTGCTGTAAGAGGTGAAATGGAAGAAACTAACCCCTTCTGGGAAGTCAGAAGTAACATTTAAAGTGAGTGGTGAAGGAGGCGTTGGGGTGGCTCCAGGAGGAGTGCATGTGCTAAGGACGGAGGGTACCTGGACTCAGGGGGACTGAAAGGAGGCCTGGAGCAAGGCTGGGAAGGGGGGGAGTGGTGGGGACATAGAAAGTAGAGATTTCTACTGTGGAGAAGTTTCCATTGGATCCTCTGACAAGGAGAGCATTGTATGTGTTTACCTAACAGACATTTTATACTTGCTATGTTTCAGTAATGCCAGTTAGCACTTTACAGACATCACCATGACAAACATCACATGACAAACATCACAAACCATGACAAATTTGTGTTCTAGAAGGTCACTGTGCAGCTTGGAAGCTGGATTGGAGGGAGCAGGATGGATGCAAAGTGTCTAATAGGTTAGACTTCCACGATGACCTTTGTAGGCATTTTGCTTTAATTCCTCTTCCATTAAAGTTCTGAGAGAAGGAGTTTTCATGAATCGCTTTTTGCAAGGTGGAGGGAATATTTGGGAGCTGTTCTTCCTTGTCTGATGGTCTCTAGTTCCTCTGTCCTGCACAAAAATTTCAGCAAGTTCTTTGCTATTAATTAAAAGGGCTTCACTAGCAATTTCCCTTTGCTTTTCCTGGAATTTTGGGGAATATTGAAAAGAACCAAAAACTCAACAGTGTTCATCTCCAGTAGAAAGTATTACTGCAAAGCCTTTCAGCCAGCTGCTTGGCTGAGGAGGGGACTGCGCAGGTTCCTAAACCAGCAGGCTGTCTTCTGAACCAGGGCCTCCCTAGTCCCATTCTAATCAATAAGAAGGCTAAAGGCTTAGCCTATCTTGGAGAGAAATGCTTGGAGTGCCTAGGGATTCTGACACCCTGAGCTCAGATGAGCATATACCAGGATAGGAATTGGGAACTTGTGACTTCTAGGTCAGATGTGACTAAGGCAGGGTGGAGAATATCTGGTGTCTCCAAATATTTTTGCAGGCATGTGACCATGTCGGCTTACCACACAGTGGAACTAGTTCTTTTTGTTACAGCTTTATGATTCAATGTTTCTGATGAGAAGATGGGAGCATATGGGATCCACAGAATGCATCTGGATTCGTCCCCAGTAGGGCCCTCAGAGAAGGACCACTCTGGAGATGGAGCCTTGGAATAATTCATGGAAGATTTGGTTTTATCAGGGTGAGGTGAATGAGGAACACTCCATAGGTGGAAAATTTAAGGGGACACCAAATTGCATCAAAATACTTATCTTGATTACTTGATTATTAGTACTCAAAATAAATGTTAATGTAATAGTTTAAAAAATCAAAATTAACTCATAAAATCCATGGTGAACAAAATATCAACATTTAAAATAAAGACAGGCTGTTTGTTTTATGACCCTGCCTCATTTTGTGACGGGAAGTCATTTCCAATCAGCTATTGGTTCTAGGCAGCCTCCATCGCATCCCCAGCAATTGGCTTTAATGAGGTTTGACGTGGTCATGGTGTGTGAACAGATTGGGCAACACAGGACTGTATTTATGGCCATAATTTATTTTAAATTGTAGAGCATTTATCCATTTTTCCATTTGCTTCAAGATACGGAAAGATAAATTTTTAAAAAGATTTATTTATTTATGCATACAAGAACTCGGGTACAGGCCAGAGGTAGGGGGTGGGTGAGAGGATTCACCAGAGACAAAGTGGGGAGCAGAACAGGCAGATATACTGAAATTCACTGCTGAGGGGAGCAGCGGGACAGACAGGAGAGGTCTGCTGCATCATGTGGGTGGCTTCCTGGCTGGGGATCGAACTCATGCTGCAGAGGCTGCAGATAGCTTCACAGTGCTGAGACTTAACCCCTTGAGCCACTGGGGAGGCCCTGGAAAGATATTTTGAGAAGTGCATATAGGGGTGTCCACTTTCTGAACTCTAATATGGCTCAGAAGGTGCTGGTTTTTAGGGGAACAGAGCCTAGAAAAGGGGTCCTAATTGTTCAAGCTAAGGCAAATGGCTAAACTTCTCTGCCTTTCTATTTTCTCATCTGTAAAATGGGAACAATCATGCCCACCTTTCAGCTTGGCTGTAAGTGTGAAGTGAGGGATGCAGGCAGAGCTTAATGCTCCTTGCAGAGCTTAATGCTCCTTGCTCTGTATGCCAAGCCAGCCTTTAACTCCTTCCCTCTCTACCCTGCAGGAGTTGTGTACACAGCTGGACAGTTACAAATGGCCTCCCATGGGGTTTGTTTCCATGGATTTGTTGCTGCCTGTCCTGTTCTGGGGACAGCAGAGAGAAGTTTTACACTCAGCCAACAACAGTGGGACTCTTAGTCAACTCTGTTTCTCTTTATTCATTTATTTATTTATACTTTATTCATTTATTTATTTATTTATTTATTTATTTATTTTTATTTATACATGCACTGGGTACAGTCAGAAGCGCGGGAGGGTGAGAGAATTCACCAGAGTCAGAGCGGAGAGCAGAGCAGGCAGACTGGCAAATACACTGCTGAGGGGAGCAGCGGGCGGCAGGAGAGGTCTGCGCGCCATGTGGGACCCTCGCCGGAGGCCGGGGATCGAACCGGCGCTGCGGAGGCTGCGGGCAGCTTCGCAACCCAGCGCTCAACCGCTGCGCCATCGGGGAAGCCCCGTTCTCAACTTTAAAAAAAAAAAAAAAAAAAAAAAAAAAGCTCCCTTAGGATAGTACATAAGGTGATTTACTACTCTTTTCTGAACTTACAACCTGAACAGAGTGAAAATAGCAGTCCTATGGACAAATGGTACATTGGAGAGGAAAAAACCATATATATACATATATATATAAACACATGTGCACACACATACACATACAATCATGTAGATTAGAATTAAAGGTCAGTGTTGTAATCTTCTTGAGATTCCATAACAAAAAGTCATAGACTGGGTGGTTTAGCAACAAAGTTTTTTCTCTAGTTATGGAGGCCCGATGAGTCCTGTAAAGATTTCTCCTTTTCTAGATGGGGCAATGCTCCGCTTTGTCAGCAGGGGGAGCTGGCGGGACACTGTAGGAGAACGTTCTCTCCCGGGTTCCGGTGTTCTGCTCTCACCTGGCTGGGCTCCGCGCTTGGGCGGCGTCAGTGCTCACTCCCACAGCACACGTAGCTTCTCCAGTGCCAGGCTCCTGCGGTATGGGGGGCTGGGAGCCTGGGTCCAACTGCACGTGGCAGCCAGCAACTGCCCGGTGCTAGCAGCTCCCCCAGGGTCCCCTTGGGTAGCTTTGTGAAAATTTCTCAGGTGCAGTAGCTCCCTGTACGTGATACTCCCCAGCATCCCTGCTGCAGATTTCTATCAGTTCGATCAATGCAGCACCTCGGGGACTTCTCTGCCGTCCAGTGAGTCACAACCATGTCCTCTCTAATCAGGTCTGAACCTCTGATCTGGTGGGAGGGCGGGGGAAGAGCACTTTTTAGGTGTCTGCTCCATGTATCTTCTCTCCCTTGTTCTTTAGGATGCTCGTTAACTTCTTGTCAACCAGTTTCTCAGCATTCCAAGCTCCTGTTATAGTAAATAATTCCTTATGTTGAAATTTCCCTGTTCAAATTACTGTGGTTTCTGCCCTGGATTGGCTGGTGCAGTGGAGGATGGCATGGAGGGTGAAGAAGGAAGAACCTCAAGTGAGAGCAGGTTTTTCTCTTATAACCCAGCGATACATTGAGAACCAGCGAGCCAGGTACCAAAGCTCTTTTGGAAAAAACATTGGCAATAAAGCTACTCCTTATGCAGGCCAAACATTTTATATGTCCTTTAGTTCTTACAGAAGCCCTCTGAGATGGGGCCATTGCTGTTAATCTCACTCTGCCCACCAAGAAACTGAGGTTAGGAGATTTGCCGAATATCACACACGTTCTGACTGCAACTGCTGCAGAACAAAGCACCCCTAATTTTAATGGCATAAAACACCTGTTTTATTAT